AAAACATTTAAGGAAACATATATATATCAGGAAAGGAGAAATTTCAGGAGGCATTTTAGAAAATAAATAACCCTTCAGCATTTTTTGAAGGATAAAAGGGCAAAATAAGTATATTACAATTACTTTATGTCAAAATTTGCAGAAAAGTGATTTTAAGGATTTTCGCACAATTTTTAAACCATAAAGATATTTATAACACATTTTCAAATTAAAATAGTAGGTGAAAGTAAGGGTGTTATTATTATTATTTTTTTCTTAATTGGTACTCACGCACACATGTCTCTACTTAAAAGTTTATCCCTAACTTTCTTTGAAAAATAAGAACTTGATAACATTAGGCCATGACCTGTTGAATGTTACGTGCTCTTTAACCTAAAGCTGAAAGCACACACACATAATACTCTTATTTGTTTGTGCTTTAAGCTATTGAATGGATTTTGTTTTGTAGTATTGAAAATTTAATACTCCGTATTTGTTTTCATGAGTAGATATGCATCCTTTACTTGAGTTGTTCTTCACATTCTTTAATATCCTATAATTTGATTTTCTTTTATTTATTTTCTTTTATTTGTTTTGTAATACTCCGTAAGTAAATAAAATAGAAAAAGAAATATGTGAAGTATATTTGGGCCATGCCCAAGGCCCCAACAAGCTTGAAAAACCAAACAAAACAAAGTAAAAAAGGCCAACAAACCATGGCCCCAATCCATAGAGGACATATATAAGAAGAGAAATCCAGCCTAACCCAGGCCCATAACAGGTCAAATTATTTACAAATGAGTTCACAGAATTAACTAATTCAGAGCACAGCCATAGCTGGGATGGATCAACAAATCTGAAAGTATTCAGGCTAAAGTGCAAATAAGTTCCACATAACACATTAAAGTTATACATTGGCCAAATTATCATTATATACACAATTTTCACATTATTTCAGAGAACGGAAAAGTGCACTTAACACCCTTATGATATCCTTATAATACGTACATATCAACCTCCTTGTGTGCACAAAACACTCCTAATTTGAAAAAGAAAAGAAAAGAGAAAGTACAAATAAGTTTTACCTGACACATTAAAGTAAGAATGATATCTTGAGCTTGAAGAGGATGCCATGAGAGGTTATTGTAGAGGCTGAGAGCTAAAAGAGAGAGAATACATTACTGTAGAGGAAATATGGAGAGAGAGAGATCAAGTTGTATGGGAAATATATATAGAGTGAGAACAAGCTGTGGAGAGAAAAAAACAATTAAAAAAAGTCTCAAAAGTGGGTTAAATAGGGTTGATATGCACTTAACACCTCTACGTAAAGCAAATATAGATAATAAACACCCCTTCAGCATTTTTGGAAGGGTAAAATGGCAAAACAGGTATATTATAATTACTTTATGTCAAATTTTGTAGAAAAGTGATTTTAAGGGGTTTTTGCACAATTTTTAAACCATAAAGATATTTATAACACATTTTAAAAAATAGGAGGTGAAAGTAGTTAACAAGGGTGTTATGTGCACTTTAACCTATATAAATATTAGATATATATATATATATATATAGATATAATACTCTTATTTGTTTGTGCTTTAAGCTATTGAATGGATTTTGTTTTGTAGTATTGAAAATTTAATACTCTGTATTTGTTTTCCTGATTAGATATGCATCCTTTACTTGAGTTGTTCTTCACATTCTTTAATATCCTATAATTTGATTTTCTTTTATTTATTTATTTTTATTTTTTTTTTTTGTAACGAAGTAAATAAAATAGGAAGAGAAATACGTACAGTATATTTGGGGCATACCCCAAGGCCCCAACAAACTTGAAAAACCAAACGAAACAAAGTAAAAATGGCCATTTTATCCCAAAAAAAAAAAAAAAAAGTAAAAAAGGCCAACAAACCATGGCCCCAATCAATAGAGGACATATATAAGAAGAGAAAATCAGCTAACCCAGGCCCATAACAGATCAAATTATTACAAATTAGTTCACAGAATTAACTAATTCAGGGCACAGCCATAGCTGGGATCGATCAACAAATCTGAAAGTATTCAGGCTACAGTGGAAGCGGCGGCGGTGGTGGTTGAGCCGGCTGAGGTGGTAATAAATGTGGTGGTGGTGTTGATGCGAAGATGAAGGAGGGGTTTGTGTGGGTTGGTTCGAAGGTGCTGGGGAGATTACGGTGGCAATTTCTTCTGGAAATGAGCTAGCTTCAATTGAATCGCATTAATCACAACATTCAGAATCTGCAATGGAGTTGATTTATTTCTAAATATTATTTTGTTTCTCTCGGCCTCCAGATATAATAAACATAGTTAGCCAAAGAAAGTATCCAAATCTCTCTCCAGATATTCTAAACATAGTTACCCTATCCAAATCGCGAATTCGTAGCGCCGCGATTGGGTTGCTCCTCCTCCTGGTTGTTCTAGAGAGCCCTACTTCGAGTGTTCAGACCTACTAACTTCTAATCTAACATTCTTGAGGTTAGAATAAAATTCACTCTTACTGTATTTTAATTCATTTACATAGGCAGACTACTAAAATTGAAAGATGGATGATAATTCTTTATCATGTAGAAATACTGGCCTAAAAATATTAAGAAGGGTTAAGTGCGAAAAAACCTCTCTTAAATTACTGTCTTTTTGTAAATAATCTCCTGAATTAAAAACTGTTCCATGAATTATTGATTTATTATAATTAAGGACAAATTCATCACAAAAGACTATTTTATCATTTTTCATTAAAATTTTTTATTTCTTATTAAATTATTTTTATTATCTTTTCTCTTTTGTTAATATTAATTATACTATTTATCTTAATTTTATTTTTAATATCAATTTATCATAAAAATGAAAATAAATAGATAAATAAATTTGTAACTACAATTTTCTAAATTGATTAACTTATTATTAAAACTTTATTATTTATAATAAAACGTATTATAACCAATTTAATCATTTTTATCGTAAAAAAGAATATCATCTTTTTCATACAATATATTGATAAAAAATTAATAAAATACTTTTGAAAAAAATTCATTCTATTAATGTAATATATTTATTAAAAATTTAAAAATTAATTAATTTTTTTAAAAAAAATTCTACTAAAATTTTTTATGTAAATTTAATGAAAAAATATATTAAATGTAATTCAATAAGAAGGAACATTATGATTATTTAATGAAATATAGTATAATTCTTAGAGTATGTTGCAATAAAATGAGATAGTTTAGAGAATTTTATACACAAAATATAATTGGGATAATTTCATTGACACCTCCAGTAGTTTGGCCAAATATCAGTCTAAAACATCTTTCGAAAATAATTATCACTCACATTACAAACGTTTGCTACGTTTTTTACTCACACCCCAAAAGTTAGTTTACAGATGTGTCAGACCACTTTTTACATGTAAAAAAACATTTTTACCCTTTGACTTTAGTTTGACCCTGACTTTGGTATACCCTCATTTTTTTAATTTATTTTTTTACAAAATATCAGTATTAAAGGACAATATGGGCCCTCAAAAATTTGTAAATTTACAAATTATATTATATATACAAGCAGACATATATATACTCCTATATACACACACACAAGCACAACACCACCACCAAATACAGCGGCGGAGTCGTCGTCGAATCCGACAACGGCCGCTCATTCGCCGTCAAAGTCGACTCTCCCACCTTCCAAACTGATGTCTCATTCGCCGCGACCTCATCTGCAAGGTCGCTCGAATCCTCCAATCCTCATCATCGAACCCTTTCCTCGACCTCTCCGACTACCTCCAAGACCCGGATCTGTCTCGCCGGATCTCCAAGACCCAGTCATCTCCCTCTTCGCAGAGCTCGTCTCCACTGGATCTGCAGCCACCGGATCTGTCTCGCCGGCGCCATCAACATTCTCACAGCCGTCTTCGCTCTCCATCTCCAAGCTCGCCGTTGCCGTTACTCCACCGCCGAGCCGAGCTCTTCACTGCCGAATTGGAGTTGTCATCTCTCCCGCTAATCCACTCGCTACCAAGTCCCGCGAATCCTCCTTCAGTCGCCCCTCGCCGGTTCTCTCAAACCCGGATAATCAGTATATATATAGTTCTCACTGCCGATTCAGTCCACCGAGCTCGGTTGTGGCCGACGAGTAAGGGTCTTCAGACGGCGGCCGACGAGCAAAAGAAGTTTAGCTCGCTCTCTCTCTCTCGGTGACAAGCACTCGTCCTCGCCGTCGCCGCCCTAAACCATGTTGCTGCTTCTGTCGCCTGAAGTTTCCCACAGTCGTCGGCGACACCACCACCACCACCATCAGCCCATCATCACCGACCACCAACCACCAATCTCTCTATACACTTTCTATCTCTTCTGCAACACACCACCCACTACCAAAAAAGCCTTAACTTTTGGAACCACCACCCATTACCACCACCACGACGCCCAACAGTTCCATCTACCCAATTGTTAGGATATAATTGTCTTTTAACTAATCTGATATTTTGAAATAAATGTTATTAAAAAAATAGGAGCAAAGTTGTCTTTTCACATGTTTTTAACGGAGGCTGTAACGAAAAAATAAAAAATGGACTTAAGTGATAGTTATTTTCGAAAGATGTTTTAGATTAATATTTAGCCAAACTACTGGGAATGTCAGTGAAATTATCTCAATATAATTTAAGAGATTATTTACAAATTCAAACATGTGTTTTTTTTTTTGCACTTTACCCAATTAAGAACTATTGAACTTTAGAATCAATCCCATGTTTCACGAATTGGATCTTGATCGGTTTAAAACTCCCATCTTGTAAATTAGTTTCAATTTTTTTTATCTGTTGGAATCGAATTTGTGACCCCGTATAACTGATGAGATCATGGCAAAAAGGTCAAAAAAAAAAAAAAAAAAAAAAATGCGGCACTAATGAATGGAACCATACTAACAAAATATATATATATATATATATATATATATATAGCTTTACAGACCCCTTACATCTGCAGCCATTCATTACATATTAACAACGACCCTTTACAAATCAAGAACCAGGAGCCCACATAGTCACATACTCCTATTTATTTTCTTTGATTCATATTGATTTACATCAGGTGCAACCAAACTAGTTTATAGGTGCAACTAAACAACCGCCCATTGAGGCCAACAACCAACCTACCCCTATAAGGACAATACAACAAAATATTGACTAGATCTTATTGATAATGATGACAATGATTGTGATCAAAGTAATCAATACTGAAACATATCAGCAGAGGCCATGATGGGTTGGTTAAGATACATCAAATTCCATGGATGATTGTTGTTCATGAAACCATCTGGGCCAATTGTCTGAACATCCTCAGCCTCAAACACACCATTGTTTGTGTTCATGTAGTCGAGGATATCGTTGAGAGACTCCAGTCTCTGGCTCAGCTCCATCATCTGAGCTCTCAGCACTGAATTCTCAGACTCAACACTCACGTATTGCTGTGTGGTGATGTTCATGCTTGTTAGGATCTGGCTGTTTTCCTTCTTCAGCTGAGCCATTTGGGCCGTCAGATCATCCAAATGCTTCTGTTTCCTCATCCTTGATCTCCTCGCCGATTCGCGATTCGATTGCATTCTCTTCCTCTTCCTTTGATCCATCACATGCTGCAAGTCCTCGTCCGAACCAGAGTTCTGAATCTGAGTAGACCCTGAGGAGTTTCCACTAGAAGAAGCCATACTAGTAATATATATATATACACACACACACACACCAAATAACTTCAAAAACTCAAAAAACACTACTCTTGATATATTTTGAATCCAAATAGTCTTAAAAATTAAAAAAGACACAGGACCCAGATGCTAATTAATGATCTAGTTGATTCAGAAAGCTTTATATATAGTTATATATATGTAGATATATATGGGTTGAGAGATGATTCATGAAAACACATAGAACCAGTAGAGGAAGACAACAGAGAAAGATTGAACAAGGTGGGTCCTGCGTCTGAGTGAGGAGTTGATCATAAACCCGGAACGGAGGATTTCACTGAGAACAGGAGACATGAATCTCAAACATCAATAACAAGAGATGAAGAACAAGCATCAAGATTTAGAGAGACAAAGAAATGGGTTCTTTCTTTTCCAGAGAAAGAATTAACCACAGATCTCAACAATAAAAACTATATATATATATATATATTTGGTTGATTTCTGTAGAATAATCAACTGGGTTTACTTTATTGATTTCAAAATCTCAAAATCAGAGACCAAAATAGTAAAATCAACCAAAGAAATCAGAACTGAAAAAGCAGAGAGAAACAGAGCCTCAGATCTATAACAAAAATCTAGAGAGAGAGAGGGGCAGCAGAACTCGAAAAACCAAGATCTACAGAGGAAGGGGAGAAGAGAAGAGCAGGGGGAGAGGTTTTTGAGGTTGCAGATGGGTTGATTTATAGAACAAAAAGGTGGGCGAGAAAATGAAAGAAAATGGACAGGAAAATTTTTAATTATGAAAATTAGATTGAAAATAGGAAAAAAGTGTAGAGCTTTGGAATCTCCTGTGAGAGTTGTTGGGCAGAGGTGATTAAACATGTTGGGGTGGGGACGAAATTTCCACAACTGTCCAGCTACAGCTACAGCTGGTGGTGACGCCAAAACCAAAACTACATACGGAGTAGTTTTATATTACTGTAATGCCAAGTTGACTGATTTTGCTTTACTACTTTACATTGTTTTCAGTTTTCACCAAGTTTGATGAATTTTTATTAAAACTTGTACTTTAACTGATTTTATTTAAAATTTACAGTACTTTTCTTTATTGAACACTTTTCACTTTTAAAATAAATACATATTTATTTATGCGATAATATATCACATCAATATTTTTGTTTTTATTAAATAGTGTATAAAATCACAATATATATATATATATATATATATGGCAAATTAGGAAGAGGTGATACTCTTCTGGACGTTTTACTAATTAAGTGTTGCAAGAAAATTTGTTTTGTTTAAATTCATACGGGAAGTGTAATGAGTATAAATAGATGAATATATAATATTATATTCAATAGTTTGAGATTTTGGATAAATGAAGAAATACTCACTCGTTACAATTGGTATCAGAGTCCGACCCAATTTATGATCCGGTGTCACGTTAGACATCCGGCCCTGAGGTGTCCAGATAGGCAGGGTGAGACTCACCGAGATAAAGAAGATAAATCAACTGTAACAAGGTATTGCAAGTTTGGATATATTCAATTCGAATAAAAAGTGAAATAAATATAAATAGGTGAACGTATATCATTATTTAATAATTTAAATTTTTAAATAAATGAACAACGCCACACATTAAACCACTAAATAATGCCTTACAACATAATAATTAATTACACAAATAATGATGTGATGATTTTTTTTGTCGTTAAATATTAGTCTGAGAAGCTTCAAGTGAGAGTATTTAACACGATGTAAATCCATCATTTGGAGTTATCTAGAGGGGAGAAATTGGTTCTGATCAAGACTTCCACTTTGACCGCACATGAGTGGCAATTTCGACCAGGTTTCGTAATTTCTTTAATCTTTATGGTTTTGTGTGTGGAGGGAATGATTGAATCCTTGAATCAATCTTTGGAAATACCAATGCTTAACATGATTGACTAAAGATAAAATAAAAAAATAAAACCACAAAGATGTGTATCAAAATCTGCAGAATCCCATCTTTCATGATTGGATCTCTTGAATCAATCTTTAGAAATAGCCCTTATGCCTTTCATGATTGAATAAATTTTAGAAACAAAGAAAAGGGTTGCCTAATGTAAGGCATTATATTTATAGAATTTTATTTTGCAATCTTAAAAAATATATATAATAGATTCTTTAGCCGAAAAAGTTGTTGACCAATGCTATGGATTGCCTTGATGGGCACATAGGGTCGTTATACATGGGCCGATAATTTTGGCCGATTGATTTGGCAGAATATATGTGGCAGTCCAAGTAAGCAATTAAGCTGGCAAACAACTAAAAGGCAAACAACTAAAAGGAAAACAACTTCTCCTCTCTCTCTTTCTAATTCTCATATATCATGTCTGTGGCGATGGTTGTTCGGTTGCAGTAGCACAGCACATCGGGATCTGGTTGTGATATGGTGAAAATTTATTTGAGAAACAACATACTACCCAAAATGGTGAGACGCACTTGCAGCCGAAGAAGCTTTAGATTGGAGAAATCGGAGGGAATTTGACCGAAGAGGTAGTTGGCACTAAGGTTGAGGACTCGGAGCTGAGTCAATTTTCCGTTTGTGTTGGGTGGAATCTGACCCACAAGGCCGACGCCTAAAGTTGCAGAGGTGCAACAACCCAGTTGTGGCGCGCCGACGATGAGTTCTTGATCGCGTGGCATTCCACATTTTCTTTGTAAATAGGTTCTTATGCAGCTTCCATCAAGAAAATTAGGAACCTCCTATTAGTTTGGAGTGGTAGGAAGGTAAGGCTATTTCAACACAAAAGACTGATTTTTTTATTGACCAAGGTGTGGTTGTGGACGAAAGGCCTGTTTTTTCTGCCCGAGTTAATACACTGTCAGCCCTGTGTATGAAGAGGTACTCACGCAATTTGATGTCCAATAAGAGCATCCCCAATTTGGCGTAGATCTCAGGCCAGGAAGAAATAGGTCAAAATATATTTTCCTCCACCTCGCCTGAACCATCAGTCCTTATTTCTCGTTGGCGTAGATCTCTATATCGCTATTGAATTTTATTTTGGATGGATTAATTAATTGTTCTATGTGTTTGATGTGTTCTGGGTACAAATTTTACTTCTTTGTATTGTGATTTAACTTATCTGTATACATAGCTTTATCAGTCTAAAATACTATAAAATTGTTTGTTATTGATTTCTGAATTTCAGTCTCCTCGCTTGAACCATCAAAGAAGACCCAAAAGAGGGTGCTCAGGCCACAGAGAGAGAGAGAGAGGAGAGTCCTCACCTGAACCATCAGAGAAGACCCAAAAGAGGGAGGTGGAACGTTGCTCAGGCCAGAGAGAGAGAGAGGAGAGACGGGAAGATGAACGCGCGACGTTTTTTTTTGCCAACTAGACGCCACCTAGGATTCTGCCTAACAAATAGGCAAAATTCATCGGCATAAATATCATTTTTCTTGGCACATATTTATGTATATATAAAGAGAGAGAGGTGAAAAGGGAGGGGGGAACATGGAATCGTATTAGCAAGGAAAAATAAAAACAGAACCTTAGTCACTTTTTTTTTTTTTTTTTTGGTAAAATCCTTCTTTGTAGAATTTAAGGTTAGGGAACTAAAATTTAGTTTGTGGTGTAAGAATTAAAGTTATTGAATTTGACCGAATCCTATACAACTAGGGTTTCAAAATTTTCGATTTGAAGAAGTTTTGAGAATCGAGCGATATACTAACCTAATAACCCATAATTATATGATTTGTTCTTCCTTATAATTTTTTTTTGAGCAGCATGTTCTATATACATATTTTATTTCTTATTGAATTGTTTTAAAGTGAGTTTATTTTGCATTTTTATTTTATTTTAATTTCAATCCAAAGATTAAATTGTATAATAACATACTCTGTATAATATATTATATAAAGTATAACGTATAGAGTGATATTCGTATATATGATAAAACAAAAGTAATTTTTTTTGCTTGACTTACTGATTTGGCGCTAACTTGGTGATGACAAGGCTATGTTGGGGAGGTGGCGTTAATCACCACCGTTAGATACTTGCTGAACATCGTCCAGTGTGAGAGTACCTGGAGAGGACTTTTTTTCCTGTTTTGGTCTGGAGGAAAGATTGAGGGAGGATGGAATGATTGAATAAATTTTAGAAACAAAGAAAAGGGATTGCCCAATATAAAGCATTATATTTAAAGAATTTTGTTATTCAAGTAAATAAAAAAAATAAAATATTAGATTCTTTAGCTCAAAAAGTTGTTGACCAATGCTATGTTTGGTTGGGGGGAAAGATTGAGGTATGATGGTGTTTGGCTCTAAATTTTGTGGGCGCGCCAGGGTCTGTTTCGACCCAAACGGTTGAATAACCAAACTATTCTTGAAATGATGCAATTAGCAAATCGGTCCCTTGAGATCAGGCAATTGTAGGAAGGCAGGAATGACCCCTTCCTTCAGGTTCTGACGCCTCAATGAAGAGGACTTTCTACACCAAGTAAAAGATATAATGAATGGGAAAACAAGAATTAGAACAAGAAATAATCCACATTCATTGCAGTGATATATGTTATTCATACAACTACTTGGAAATTATATACAGATCAGTTTGAATACAAGTTGTACAAGACAAGAGTTTTGATAAAATAAAGATTGGCTAATTTCTTAAATCCAAGCCCTAGAATTCGCAATTCCTAGGGTGCACCAAACGGAGATTCGCTCCGATCAAATGATGAACTCTCCAATAAAGCCAAAAGTGATACTATCAATTTCTTAAAGATGAGAGAGAGATTTTGGCTCAAAATCATGAAGAAAAGAAACAGAAAAATGAGAGAAAAGAGAGAGAGAGAGCTTTGATGGGGAGAGATTATATAAGAGGCTAAAATGGCCTCTTGGTCACACATAAAATGCCTAAAAGGTGGTGGGTCCCACCAAAAGAAAAATCTCACTTTTCTCATATATATATATATATATATATGTATATTGATTTTCAACCACACAAAATTAGCATATCACCACAAAATATGCATAAAATAAATATGCATGAAATACAATGAACCTTAGATGTAATCCTCGTGTACAGTAACTTCGGTATCGGGTCCTACCCGGGACTTTCCGGCCCGAAAATAGAAAAAAATGCCGAAATGGCAACTAGTACATTTCTATGAGTCCTGAACTCAAGGAAATGTCCCAAACCACTCTCTAACACACCCGACACACCCCACGGCATCCGGGTTGCAAAATGAGAAAAGACGAAAATACCCTTGAAAATCAAAAAATTCTAAAAATAAATTAAAAAAAAATGCTAAAATTCAGGAACATTACATTCTCCCCAACTTAAAAGGATTTTGTTCCCAAAATCAAACCGTACCTAGGGAAGAAAACAATGCTGGATACTTGGAGCGAACATTCTGTTCGAGCTCCCAAGTAGCCTCCTCAACTCCGTGATGCCTCCAAAGGACCTTTACTAATGGTATCGTTTTGTCCTTTAACACTTTTTGCCGTGTGTAAAGGATCTAAACTGGTCCTTCCTCGTAGGAAACATCCTCTTCAATGTCCACATCAACCTAATCAAGAACGTGAGACGGATCTGGCTCATATTTCCGTAACATCGATACATGAAAGACATTGTAAACCTTATCCAACTGTAGTGGCAATGCAAGTCTATAGGCAACCTATCCTACCAGGTCCAAAATCTCAAAAGGTCCAATGAATCGTGGCGACAACTTGCCACTTTTCCCGAACTTCATTAATCCCTTCCGTGAAGAAACCCGAAGAAAGACATGGTCTCCTACCTCAAAGGATTGCGGCCGTCTCCGCTTATCCACATAACTTTTCTGTTAGCTTTGAGTTGTAAGCAA